CTCCCATAAACAACACATAAGGACACAAGCCCTGCCAGATGTTCAGCTTGTAATTCACAGAACTGTGGCGAGTATCCAAAAACAACAGAGGAATACTATGCCTATACAGCACTAACATACTGTTCACTTACTACCTGCAGTTTACTCCCCCACAAACGCCATTTCAACCCTAGTTAAGCAGTTAACAGTTATGCCAATCCAGAAAAAAAATATTTTTGCAGAGACATTGTTCGCCCTCCCAAATAGGAGAGTTATTAGAAGAGCAAAAATTCATGTACTATGAAAAGGTAAAAGATGTGGCACTGCCTACTAGGGAGCTTAAATATCTAGTTGTCACTGCAATACATCCAACTGGAAGATTACACATCTTTTCACACATTTGTTAAGACCTGCTACACCCTAAATATGTAACAGATGCTGGGGATGCAGAGAATAAATAGGGATTTTCTTCCCTAGGAGTTCCCAGAAGGGCAAAGGAAATACTAAACAGACCTATTAGAGATGGCTTTGAGGCAAAAGAGAGCAGATGTTTCTACCACAGCATGGGGGCCATGGAGAACTTTGTGGAAGAGGTAAGCTTGGGAAATTAAAAGAGGAAAGGAAGTTAACCAAAAGATCATGAAAAGGGCACCTCAGATAGAGGCCAGGATGCTGTTTGAAAGCCTGGAGGCCCAAAACTAGGAGTATGGATTTATTTCAACATATACATGCTGGAGCAAAGAAATGATGATAGTGATCATCATGATATATAAGAACCCTCTTTCCCATACAAACTGGATAGGTTTCAAACATAAAGTTCACTGTACTGACGTAGCAGACCTCTGGAATCTCTCTTTTCAGAATGGTCTTAAAAGGGAGACAGGGGCAGGGGGGCTGGAGAGATGGCTCAGCGGTTAAGAACACTGGTTGTTCTTGCAGAAGATCCAGGTTCAAATCCCAGCACCCACATGGCAGCTAACAACTGTCTATAACTCCAGTCCCAGGGGATTCGACAGCTGCTTCTGACCTCTGCGGGCATTGCATGACATGGGTGCACTTACCTACATGCAGACAATATATGCATACACATAAAATACATGCAAACACATAAAATTTTCAAAAAGGGAGACAGAGGGAAAGAAGGAAGCCTGTTGCCTAGATAAGCAGGTCACCATAGTTTGTGAACTCTCCATACAGACTCATTTCTTTGCCCTGAAATTCAGTGATTTGTTAGCTCTTACAAATCCCCAATTTCCATTTTCCTTAACAGAAGGAACTGGTAAACAAAATGTGGAGTTGGACCACATTACCCACCCACTGTGACACACTCCAGTGAATAACTTCAACATGAAAGCAAAATGACATTCTAAGCATAGCCTTTGCACTGCTTCTGCCTAGAGGATATGTCTACTACAGCCTCCTCTTGGATGCTTCACACTCAAGTCCAAAGCTGAGCCCTTGCTCTTCCCTCCATAGGCCTGATCCTCCTCTAGAGCTGACTATCCTACCCAAGTCAGAAACTAAGATGCTCTGAACACAGCCCTCTCCCTTTCCCCTCTTTCATTCTACCTCTACCTATCTCATCATCAACTATCAATTTATTTACTAAGTATCTTCTTTCCCCAGTGTTCCTGTTTACATGCCCAAATTACAATAAGCCATCCTCACCCCTCAGGTAAGGGAAACCCCTACAGGCTTTCAATAAGCCAGACCTAAGTGGAACAGCACAGTGAGACTGCAGAAGGCATACAGCTTTAACCTGCTCAAACCATGGTCATTGGGATACCCTATATATTGATTGGAATCAATATATAGGAACTCCTTTAAATAGCTCTCAATAAAAGCCACTCTTTTTTTTTTTTTTTTTTTTTTTTTTTTTTCCCAGACGAAGAAAAGTACTGAGGGAGCCCATTTAACAGCAGCAGATACTAGAAAGTGGGCTGCAGGGAAGATGGGTCTCCTGCATGAATTCTTCAGAAATGTCAGTGCCTTGGGAGCCCAGAACCTAAGGCCTACAATGAGAGGAGACAAATCCCAAGCAAGGAAAGCTTGGCTGGACACATTTCACCTTTTACTACCAATTGAAACAAATTCCAAGTCACTGCGCTAGTGTCTCCATTCTTACTTTATCCACCAACTTCCCTTGCCATAAGGAAAACCATTTGGTGAAACGATTTACATATGACAAAGCAGATGTAAAGAAGGCAATTTTCGGAAGGATGTTGGTGTTGATAGTACCTTGGAACTCTTTTCCAAAATAAAAGACAAAATAAAGGAAAAATCTAATCATGTCTCTCAGCCTCAACTCAACAGAAATGCTTCCTTCACCTTATTCCTGAAATTGGCCTTCATTCCACCCCAGAAGGAATAAATATATGCAGAATGAACAAATAAAAAAATAGCAGACTAAGAGCTAGAAAGAGGAGCAACAGGAGAGGAAGAAGGTCCTGATCAAACATTCTTTCATTTATTTCAACGCCTCTTAACACTTAATATGTACTATGTATCTCTGCAAAATGCCAGGAACACACGGGTGTGCCCAAAATGTGAAAGGAAAGAGCAGAGAGAGAACAGTCTCCTTCATCTCCCTAGTGTGGCAGCTTTCCAAATGCTTCTTTAACAGCACCTCCTGTTTTCCTGACATTAAAGCCATGCTTAACGGCACACGTGCAAATAAAAACTTCACCTTTTATTGTATCCAGTACTTTGGGGCCTTGTGATTTCTTTTCTAAGGAAAAACCTGTCATTCATCTCCTTGATTAAAAATTGATTTAATTTAGCTTTCATTAGGTAAGTACAAGGGGAAAACATACAGATTCACAGAGATAACTCGCCCAGCAACAGAACCGTGATGAGCTCCAACGACTACACAGTCGGGTCCCAGCCCACTGCCAATGAAAGAAAATTAAAAAGCTCACAATGTGGAGCTTAAGCTCCAGCCAAAAGGAATTATCTTCCCACAAGCGTCTCTGTCAGATTTTTGGTTAATGGAAAAAACTTTTCAAAGGGGAGGAAAGGAAACCCCAAGGATATTTTAATATAAAACTTAGAAATTCTACATTTTTTTCAAATTCCCTCGCAGGGAGAAAAGGCAAAGCGGTCTTTATTTCTCAGTCCTACTTTTCAAAATTTTTCTTATTGATATGACATTGTAAAATTTTTCAATTTGTAGGGAGCCTGGCTAAGGAACTTTAAGCTGTTGCACAGGGCCTCTGCAATAAGAGCTGAGGGCGGGAAGAGCTGATGAGAGGTGGGAGCACTGCTCTTGACCATGGAGCACCACAGGCTCAGCAACACCGCTTTTGGGCTACAGGACTGGGATCAAAAACCAGGCCGTCAAGCCTGTGGCAGACCACTTTTCCAGTCTTCGGCCTCCTACATTCTGGCGGTTATTTGGAGCAAACAGGCCGACTTCACTACCATGCCAGAGGATCCTAGGGTGCCAAGATCAGTAAATTACATGTATATACTTTGATTAAATGTTATAGATATTATTTAGTAGCCACAGCATAATGTGACTCTATTCTCCCCTTCTATGTTTTTTTACAACCCTCAGAATAAAGACCAAACCCAGGACCTGCACCATCCAACCCCATTCAATGTCTGCAGCTTTTCTCACCCTGTCTACTCACCCTTATGACTTTTTCTCCATGACTCTAAAACATCTTGTCTCCCACCTCCAGGCTTTTGTACATGTCATTCCCTCTGCTTGGGATGCCATTTCCCCTTATCTTTACCTGAAAAATTCCTACTCCTTTTGACTTCAGCTCAAAAGATTTCTAGATGACTTCCCCAATTCTCTCCATTGGAAGAGATCCAGTACTGTCAGAGCGTCTATCCTTTCCTGATCACAACTCTTACTATACTTTCTTACACAGTTGATCTTCTCCCTAGTAGACTGTAAGCTTTATAAACATGGGGACCACACCCATTCCTCATTTAACACAGAACATACCTAACAGCCTGGACTAGCTTGGCACTTGACACAAAAGAAATACCAGTCTCACTTCTCCATTCTACCTTGATTCACTCTAAAGCCCAGTTACGCACTTGCCGCCTCCACCACCATCATCCTACCCAAGCATTCATACTTCACAGTACTTACTGGATAGCAGGCCCAAGCCTTAACTTTAAGCATATTCATCAGCAGTCTATGTAGCACTTGCTAAGTCATTGACACAGTGTTTCTCCTGCCTTTTAAGAGACAAAAAGGGAATCTACACAAATAATCACCACATAGTATAATAAGTAACAAAACCGAGAGACATATGGGATGGAGGCAACACAGCAAAAGGGGCCTAATAATTAGGTCAGTCTTCTCAGTACTCTTCCCCTTAGCATCCCAAGCTAACTGTTCCTGTCCTTCCTCATCCTCACAGACAGAAATGCTCCCACACCTCCAGTTGGTAATTCAGATCAGACTTCTCCAGTCTGGGTTTCCATTTGTGCTAGATTAATTCAAATCCTTCTGGCTTCTGCTTTCTTACCTTCTCTTCCAAGGCATCTCTCACAAATATCTTGGCTTCTGCCCTATGCTAAGCCAACCTGCCTAAATGACTATTTTTCCATCTCTTCCCTCAGGGTCTTAAATGATTACTTGGTATTTATTTATTTATTTTGCATACTTTTAATTTCAGAACAAAATAAACAAAACAAAAAACAATACACAACACTCAACCCTGCTATTTAGTGAGGGAGGGAATTTTCCTGCCTTAAGACACCTAGGACAGGAGAGTATCTACTAAGACAGTAGAGAGGCAGGTGGGCCAGGCTGCTGGGGGAGCCACAGGAGGACTATACAGAGGGCACGGGCTTCCAGGTGGGAACTCTAATCTACTTCTTCCATGTGAGATGCATCCTCATCACCCTCTAGTGGGGGCATCTCATCAGGAACAACGGTGCTGGGCTCCTCTGCTGCCACCTCATCTTCATCAATGCCCAGGCCTAGTTTGATCATGTGATAGATGTGGTTGGAGTGGGTCTGGGGATCCTCAAGTGAGAAACCAGAGGAGAGCAAAGCAGAAAAACAGTGGTTAGATACCACAAAGTAGGTGGCAATGCCTTAACCGTACACATGTTGTTAGGCCCAAGGGCCTCTTCCATCCTTGTCAAGCGGAGTGCTAACCTTTTCTCCTTTCATACAACACAACTTGGTTTTTTTGTTTTTTTTTTTTTAAATCTGCATTTAAAGTTGGGGGTGTTGGCATACACCTTTAATCCCAGCACTTGGGAGGCAGAGACAGGCAGATCCCTGTGAGTTTGAGGCTAGCCTGGTCTACATAGTGAGTTCCAGGTCAGTTTGGGCTACAGGGAGACCCTGTCTCAAAAATACCAAAAAAAAAAAAAAAAAAAAAGCTGCATTTAAATAGAACATAATTTTAGCAGTCCCCATCTATAATGCAGAGAAGACTCAGAGGGGCAAAATACTAGGAAAAATTAAATATGAAGTAAATCATCCTCTATATAGCTTTCTTCCTCTACTTCTTCCTCTTAGAGATTCAAGTGCTAAGGGCATCGTGGCTGTGCTGGTTAGTTTTCACTGTCAACTGACAAAATCTAGAATCACCTGGGAAGAGACTTTCAACTGAAGAATTGTCTAGATCAGGTTGGCCTGTGGGTATGGTCTGTGGGAGATTATCTGACTGTTAATTGATATAGGAAGACCCAGCCCATTGTGGATAGCATCATTCCCTAGGGAGGACACCCTGAACTGAATAAGAGTAGAGAAAACTGAGTACAATTCAGACGCAGCAAGCAGGAGGCATGGCTGTATTCACTTCTCTCTGCTCTTGACCATGGATGTGATGTCACCAACTGTTTCTGATCCTGCTCTGACTTCCCCTTAATGATGAACTATAACCTGGAAGTATAAGTCAAATAAACTCTTCCTCCCCTCAGTTGATTTTTGTCAGGGTATTTTATTGTAGCAACAGAAATGAAACTAGAACAATGTTCTTCAAGAGGATGTTCCTAATTCTATTACATTCCAAGGAGATTCATCACTCCTTATTCACTAGCACTCTGGCACTGGCCCTTTGACTCTGAGTGCTAAGGTCACTCTATAAAGCTACCCATTAATTAATCAATGTGAACTGAGCACCTTTATGAACCAAGAATCATGTTCCCCATAACACCATGTTCCTATATATAACATGTATGATCAATATCTATGACTGAATCCCTGATTAGAAAACCAAGCCTCTCCTGTAACATATTCAGGAATATGTTAAAAAAATTCTCCTTAATAAACATAGATGCAAAAATTCTCAACAAAACACTTGCAAACCGCATACAGATGCACACCAAAAAGATCATTCACCATCATCAAGTAGGCTTTATTCCAGAGATGCAGGGGTGGTTAAATATATGCAAGTCAATAAGCGTTTTAAGTCATATAAACAGACACAAAGACAAAAACCACATCGTCATCTCAACATATGTACAAAAGGCCTCTGACAAAATTCAGCATGGATTCATGATAAAAGTCCTAAAGGGAATTGGACTGGAGTGAACATACCTCAACATAATTAAAGCTATATACAACAAACCCACACCCAACATCATTCTAAATAGAAAAAAGCTGGAAGCATTCCCATTAAAATCAGGAATCAGACAAGGCTGTCCACTATCTCCACTCCTTTTCAATAGTGCTTGAAACTCTTGCTAGAGCAATAAGACAAGAGAAGGAAATAAAGGAGGACTAATTGGAAAAGAAGAGGACAAATTATCCTTTTTTTGCAGATGATATGATACTATTCCTAAGGGATCCCAAAAATTCCACCAGAACTCCCAGAACTGATCAACACTTTCAGTAAAGTGGCAGGTTACAAAATTAATATACAAAAATTAGTAGCCTTTCTATATACCAATAACAAGCAATCAGAGAAAGAGTACATCAAAGATCTCTACAAGGAAAATTCTCAATCTTTAAAGAAAGATTGAAGAAGACACCAGAAGATGAAAGGATCTCCCATGCTCATTGATTGGGAGAATTAATATTGTAAAAATGACCATCCTACCAAAAGCAATATATAGATTCAATGCAATCCCAATAAAAATCCCCATGACATACTTCACAGAATTTGAAAAAACATCCTTAAATTCATATGGAAGCACAAAATAGACAGCCAAATCAACCCTGAGCACAAAGAGCAATGCTGGGGGGATTACTATACCAGATTTCAAACTACACTACAGAGCTACAGTCATAAAAACAGCATGGTATGTGCACAAAAATAGACACATAAATCAATGGAACAAAATTAAAGACTCAAACCTGAGTACACGCAATTTTAGTCCCCTGATACTTGACAAAGATGCCACGAACACACAGTGAACAAAAGACAGCATCTTGACAAAGATGCCACGAACACACAGTGAACAAAAGACAGCATCTTCAACAAATAAATGGTGCTGGCAAAACTGGATCTCCACCTGTAGAAGAATGAAACTAGGTCCTTATCTTTCGCCTTGCAAAAAATCAACTCCAAAAGGATCAAATGTGAAACTGGAAACTCTGAAACTGTTGGAAGAAAACACTGGCAGTAACCTACAAGATATAGATTTGGAAAAGGACATTTTAAATTGGACACCAGTTCTCAGGAATTAAGGTCATCAACAAGTGGAACCTCATTAAACTAAAAAGCTTCTGTGCAGCAAAGAAACAATCAAGAAAGCAAAAAGAAAACCCACAGAGGTGGAAAAAAATCTTCACCAGTGACACATCTGACAGAGATTTAACATCCAGAATATATAAAGAATTAAAAAAGCAAAGAATCAAGAAAGCAATTGACCCAATTAAAAGATGGGCTATGGATCAGAACAGAGAGTTTTTAAAAGAAGAAATAAATAAGGCTAAGAAACATCTTTAAAAGTATTCAACATCATTAGTAATTAGAGGAATGCAAATTAAAACCACCTTAAGATTTCATCTTACCCCAGTAAAACCAGCTAAGATCAAGAAAACAAATGATACCAAATGCTGGTGAGGATGTGGAGATAGGGGAACACTCATTCACTGCTGGTAGGATTGCAAATTCATGCAACCCATATGGAAAGCAGTGTGGAAAACTCTTAAAAAACTAAAAATGAACCATATGACCCAATTATACCACTCCTTGGCATATACCCAAAGGACATATCCTATTGCAGAGACACTTGTACAATCATGTTTGTTGCTGCTCTTTTCACAATAGCTAAGAGATGGATGCAACCTAAGTGCCCCTCAATTGATGAGTGGTTAACAAAAATGTGATACATTTACACAATGGAGTTCTACTCAGTGGTAAAGAAAGATGAGATAATGAAATTTGCAGGAAAATAGATGGATCTAGAAACTCTTATACTAAGTAAAGTAACACAGACTCAGAAAAACAAAAGATGTATGTTCTCCCTCATTTGTGGATCCTAGCACCAAACCCTTATAAACAAGTATTCTAGTCACTACCCATCAAAGAAGCTTCTTTTTCAAGAGACAGATATAATTACAGAGTTCCACAACTGGTCACACACAGAGATTGTCTGTGAATTGCCCAAGTCTAAGTGGCACATCTAGGATACAACTTCTACACCTAAGGCTCATGGAATATAGAACAAGGGATGAAGAGAACACTAATGCATCTTTCAATTCTCATCAACAAAGCTCCCTCATGCAACAGAGGGCCAGGAAAGCAAAAGGTCACAAATGGCCAAAATGCAGTGAATAAGAGTCTACAGAGTGTGGGTCCTTGGTCAGGACTCCTATATCAAAATCCACCTACGCAGGGTTCAGGAACCATTGTGGAAAAGGGGACAGAAAAATTGTAAGAGCCAGGGAAGAGGTGCATGACCATACAGAAACAGTCCTACAGGCACCTAGGACTCTTCTCATATGAACCTACAGCAATGGTGTCAGCATGCACAAGACCCGTGCAAACTTAAGCAAACAAAAACCCAGCACAAAACTATGAAAATGAGCAGCAGGTCCCCAATCTTAGTCAAAGAATTACTGGCAGCTAATTACTGCTGGGTGAAGAAGAGTTGTTCTTCTTTTTTTTTTTTTTTTAACTCTACATGTATGAGTGTTATGCCTGCATGTAGGTAAGTGCACCCAGGTCGTGCAATGCCACGGAGGACAGAAGTGACTGTTGGATTCCCCCGGAACTGGAGTTACGGACAGTTGAAGTTAGCTGCCATGTGGGTACTGGGATTCGAACCCAGGTCTTCTGCAAGAAGAACCAGTGTTCTTAATTGCTGATCCATCTCTCCAGCCCCTGAATTGCTCTTCTTAAAGGGGAGGACTCTAGATAGGCTGACTAGATCCCAGTGGATGAACTTGCACTGAGGGACATCTGGGGACACTAACTTTACATGATAGGCCTTAACAGAAGTGACAGAATGTATGAACTCCAATGGGAGGGGGGGTCTATGGGAGGGTGCCAAAGGGACAGGGAGTATAAAGATGATTTTCCATACGAAATACACAAAAATTCATTTAAGCTGGGCATGGAGGTGCAGGCCTTTAATCCTGGCACTCGGGAGGCAAAGGCAGGTGGATCTCTATGAGTTCAAGGCCAGCTGGGGCTACAGGGAGACTCTGTCTCAACAAAAAAAATATAAAAACAAAAATTCTCCAGTGTAGCCTGAGGTCAGAACCTGCCCTGATCCCCAATTCTCTTAGTTATCTGAGCCCACATCAGAGAGGCCTTTATTCAACTAAGGAGGTGCTGACATAATCTTTCTATACCAAGGGAGTCAGAGAAACCAGTGTTGTAAAACACAGCTTTAATCAAGTGACTTATTGCCTATTAGTATGGATTGAGGAGAATTTTTTCTCAAGGATCCAGAAATAAATGAAAGAACAAAAATTAATGAACATTGTAATTATCCCCTAAAGTTGCAAATCATAATAATCCCCCATTTGAAGACAAGTATAAAAAACAAGATTAAGATGCTTCAGGGATGCATTCGTGAAACAGCAGGTAACAGAACAGGTAAAATGTATTTACAGTATCTCGCTGGGGACAGGTAACTTTTGGCTAATAGCTATCAGACACTAAATGCCACTGTAAAAATAATATTCTCCCTTCTTCATTATAGAGCTACAGTTATCCATGGGAAAGCAGCAACATGACCATTTTGAATTATATCTAGGCATAATTCCATAGTC